CTGAGGTTGTCGAAGACCTGCGGAACCGTTGCTTTCAGTTGAACTCATTCCATTGACCATGAAGCACACGAACATAAGCACCTTGTTAAGTGCAGCGTACTGGTTCTTGTGCTGGCCTGCACAGCTATCAGGAATAGTTTTACCCAGAATGACTGGGTTGATGATTTCTCCCTAAGAGAGGGTAATGCCACGTGCACAGCAGATGTGGTGCATAACGAACGCACAGTGGGCATAAAATCTTCATATCCACATCAAAGGCCACAAGCGTTTGACAACCACACCTGATACGTAGATGATCAACGATCGTCCCTGCACTCAACGTCGCTCCAGCAGTAGTAGCATGTTGCAAACCACCATCGTACGTTGTCCATGTAAATGCCTCTGCTCCTTGTCTTCTTCTTTGGCTAGATTTTTCGACAGGTAATCACAGCCATTTCTGAGTTGGCGTCAACGCCACTCGCCACGTCGAGGCCTAAATAACTGGTCCTCTGCTTCGAGTAGTTCTTGCTTGGCCTCATGAACTCCAGGAAATTCACTACTGCGACCATGAGCTACTTTATCTGCCCACGCAACAAATAAATATTTCAACCAAGCGCGATCGATCGCTGTTTGAAGTTGTGAATTTTCAAGCGCTTCCAGCTCACACGAGTCAGCGCTTGTCTACGCAGACTAGCACAACTAATACTCTTGTACAGCTTGGCGGAGAGACAAAGGAGAAAACGGAGAAAACACAACCTTGAGTCACTTTGGCTAACTGGATGACAGAAATTGTTGACAAGGAAGTTGCTTTGCTGACACGAGGCAGGGCAAAGCGGCCACGCAAGATTTATTTTTTCATCCACCATTTTCGGAAAAAATATGTTTTATTCATGTGCCGCGTGACGAACCGTGACAAAACACGTGCATGCGTGGGCTAACTTGGCTTTGCTGCTCAAAGCCGTCATTTTGCAGACACGTGGATGTGAATAGTTGCATGACTGTGCATGCTTCCGCTGATGGAGTGAGAGAGTGAGAGAGAGGGAGGGAGAGAGAGGGAGGGAGAGAGAGAGAGAGAGAGAGAGAGAGAGAGAGAGAGAGAGAGAGGGGGGGGGGAGAGAGAGAGAGACGGATGCACACAGGAGAGATAAACTGACAGACCAATTTGACAGAGACTGAAGATATGCAGAGAGTCAAAATGTAATGACTTGTAAGCTCTACTTACTGCACTAATCCCTGCCTTTTCAGCAGCTGGTGTGCTGACCAGGGACAGTGGGTTGCCAATATGACAACTGAAGAATCCTGCACAAAGAAAACAAAGATGAAGTATTTGTCACTGGCTGAACTAAGGCAAATTGGTAAGAAAAAGAATTCGTTCTAAAAATCTCAGTGTTGAGAGTTTCCTCCGCAGAGTCACACGGCTTCAGGCACTAGTCATGCTACTATACGACAGGTGCATAGATGGATCCATGAAAGCAGACGATGAAAACCAGACACCGTATCCCAACTAGACGCCATGACATTGAGAAGCAAACATATACCCCATTCCGTCGGAAGGTTGCGCCATAGCGAGCTCTCACCTGCGAATGGAACAGAGGAGGCGATACCCTGCTCGTAGTTGTCACTGACGCACACCTTCATTCCACTGCCCATAGACAGAGGGTAGAAGAACTTGGGACAGCTGCGTGTACCGGTCACAAGGTTGGTGGAGCTGGCGCTGTAAATGCCGCCGAAAAGGTATCCAGACTTGGGCTCCACAGGGCCCAGCTTCACGCACCAGTACGTCTCGTAGTTAGCTACCGCTCCAAGGTATTGCGTGCTGCACACCTGCACACAGAATTATACAGTCGGAAAGAATTTTGCAATAGCCATCAGACAAAACGGGATTCACAGAAGCATGCGACGGCCGCGAAACCGGGAAATCCCCTAACCACACCCACTGCGTAGCTCATGCAACCGTGCAACTGGCCCATTGCAGATGCGACAAGCGGCGTGCGATTTTGGCCTTTTCTGCAGCAAAGTTGTACAAAGGTTGTTGGTCCTAGCCATGCGAATACTATGGTGACATACTCACCTGCATTGAGCTTTGCGCAAAATCAGCAAAGCAACGTCAATATTTCTGACTTCTTCTGAGAATTATATTTCGCGAGTTCGCATCGTACACCGTCGTCGCGGATCGCGGCGCGAAAAGGCATATGTGAATCCTGATAAACTGTTAAATTTCTTCCATAATCACGGTATATTCTTTGGAACATTCATTTCAAACTGCTTACTCGGTTAGAACAGTCCAGGTAAACATAAATAAAGGCAATGTAGCAATGGTCCTCATGTATTCTGCCACTTTCCAAAGGAGGTGCTTTCGGGACATACTGCCAAGACATCTGATTGAACTCGCCCGTCCTGTGTATTGCCTATCGCCCTAAAAACCATGTCCACTGGTCCTCCAACAACCTAGAACTCACCTGCCTGCCGCACTTCTGCAGCCAAAGAAACCCGCAGTGATGGTATTCGGTGTGGCACTCATGGTCGTTCCAGTTGAATGTCTCAGAGCCGGTGTTCAGTTTCACGGCATCATATCCACTCGGGCAACCATACGTTCCTGAGCACCGATCAGAAGGATTAACCCTTTACCGGCAAGTGCATTTTGTATACGAAATCCATAACATTGAGAAGGATAGCAATAACTCACAACGAGGGCACATTTTGTATGTGCAAGTTATGTTTTCTTGAAAGTCTGGTACTACTTCTTGACCTTGGAAAAAATTATTTTCACATGCCACACACATACGCTACTAAATTGGCACCGATACGTCTAAAGACGGAAATTGTACATAATGCAAATCGTCAGATTCCGACATTGACATGATACTGCCAAAACAAGTCGACTTCGGAGTGGAAACGAACACCATAGCCATCACAGACTTCAGTGGCCGTGCGTCGCTCGCAATTGAGAGCAGCATCGCCCCAGAATCGCTGTCCGATGGCTCCGTAAGGTCGTGCGCAAGTCGCGCTGCGCTGCCGTCACTCAGGTACGTAGAAAGTCGATGGCCTAAAATTCCGTCTCTGGGAGACTGTCGACACGGGGATCACTCTCCATGGCTTCCCCACCATAAGCACCATCAGATTCTTCCAGGTACATCACGACGACATCGTCTTCAGCGGCTGGAGCTCCCGATATTTGCGTGAGAATTTACTTGGCGTGCGCTCCGCTCCGCAATTTGAAATTCGCTTGCATCGGCGGCTGGAATGAAGTATTTATGTATCTGTCGTCGGTCCCAGAGCGAAGGTCTGCTAGGTCCTCGTCTGAGAAGTCATCTGAGGACGAAAGGAACTCACTGCGCAAGAAGAAATGCACCTGACGACGTTTTGACGGAGGCAGACGGCATTGTCGGCGCGCGTGTATTTCCGTAAGTTTTCGATCGCGCAGTTCTCAATGAAATCAAATGGGACACGCGTAGATCTCTTCAGCTACGGATAGGATCATACGTAGGCTGTGTGAGGGCCACGGGAAATCCCCGTGGGCTGATGCTTCCTGTCATACCAGGCATGGTTTTAGTATGCATGTCGAATGCGTCGTTTACGACGCATTCAAGTATGGGGCTGCAGGTAAAGGGTTAAAGGAAGCTGGTTGATTCGGGTCTAGTCCACGACCACTACATCTCCATACACATCATCGTATGTTTGCATCTGTTGACCCTCATGGGAGTGCACACAAAGATATTTTTTCTAAATGACACAAGTGTGTCCAGGCATGCAGTATACTATGCACACCATAATCTACAGCGATGGCACTGCCGTTTCACATGACAGAATGCCCTCACTGCCTCCTCTCACCTGAGAGCGGATTCTTCTGTCTGAGCCCTGCACAAATGTCTCTGCCATAGTCTTGCGGAGATGAGCAGTTCTGGAAGACGCCACCAAACGTGTAGTTATTGGGTGCAAGACTGCACAATGAGGTATCACCAGAATTGGCCTGAAGAAGAAGAATAACAGGGGATAATGTTGGTGACGGGGCCAGCAGTATAATTTCCAAC